GTTGTGACAACTCTTGCCTGAATGCCATCTGGGATTATTGAATGAATGAAAATTGTTTTTAAAAAATCGTGCGGAGCCATTAACTCACTCGGCACCAATTAGATTCTAAAATTCTAAATTTATCCACCATTTGTTTCTCTTCCAGACTGAAAAGCACAAGTCAGATGTTAGACACTTCAGTGTTTCCAAAGCACACATGAAAGCACGCTGAGGCTGTTCACCCATGGGAGACCGTTCCACGCGAAGATCAAAACAGCATTCGGCACGGGTGAGTACATCACGACACACACATATGAACACAAAACACAACCGGATTCAGTTCAGTTATTCATAAGTATGGAATACAGACTTAGAGTCAGTCTCAATCAGTCGTATTAGTGCGTCAGATTGTGCGCCAACTGGCTGGTCAGTCATTATGCTGTGATCTAAACAGGAAGTATACGAGATTTCACAGCTTTGTTTGTGTGTGTGTGTTTTTCAGAAATGGCATTATGCCCATATTTTTTGTTATTTTTGTAGTGTTTGCTTGTAGATGTGGGCCGTAGCGGTGTGAGAACTCAGTCTTAAACAACCTGACACAATCTGAATTTTGCCACAGGCTATGTATCATTTGGATGCGTCTCACAGTGGGATCTAGGACCACCGTTTTGCCACATTTGTCAACGGACTGTCAACTTGCATCTGAAGCAGCCCAAAATCTCTAGAGTGTAAAGAACTCACACATGCACAAACACATACAGACACACATGGGCAAGTAAACACTACTATTCTCACAATCCAGTATCATACAGTCAAAGCTGTGCAGAGCTCAGAGATGCTGTAGGCGTGTTTAGCGTTGGGTTCAGACAAAGAACATCAACATTCAGTGTTATGTGGCACCATCTGTCCCTGAACAGCAAAACTCCCACGTGAGGGCATCTACACACACTTACAAAGAAACACACACAAACATAGATGGATATACAATAAGTAAATACTCTCACATGTCCCCCTCACATGTGCTCATATTTTGCTAATTATCTCCCTTACGGATGCCTGATTTCCCCTCGCTTCCTCCGTCTTTTTCACCTCTGTCTCCTCTCGTCTCCCGCTGCATCTGATAGAGTCTATTTAAGGGGAATGCGCACACACACAAACGCACACACACACACAAATCGCCCTCTCCCTGTTGCTCTCAGGCTGTCTTTCACTTTGGGAAAGTTGCAGCTTTCATCCAACTTTGACGACTTCACATTAATTAGCTCAGTGGTTTGTTCTTCTGCTGGAGTGTATGCTAGTTAGCAAAGTGGTGTCTGCTGATATTTGATAAGTGGGTGTGCACTACACTTTCTCTGTGACATTTCGGTGTCTGTCATTTAGAAAAAGCACACCCACATTTTGATGCCACGGCATGAGAGACCCTTACTGGCATAATCCCCTAGTTACCAAGGGCCTGGTTTAAGATAAGGAGTAGTAGAATGGCTTCGTAATCAGTGCAAAGTTTCTTTAATGATACAATGAACTAAAGGAAATTAATTACTTACACTTCCCTGGCCATGAGGAGACCAGTTGCTTGACTTTTGGGAGGCATGTTGCCTCCACTCTTGTCTAATAGTTTTCTAACTGGTCAATAGTCCTGAGTCTTTCTAACATTTTTCTTTCATGAGGGAACAAATGCTGTTGTATTAGATGCAGTTTAGCATTGCCTTCTGGATATGGAAGGCCTTCCCGGAAGTAGATTTCTGGATAGGAGCAGATGTTTGAAAATCTGTGTATAGCTTTCAGGACTGATGCAGCCTTTCCAGATGTGCAAGATGCCTATTTCATAGGCGACCTCCTACTATCAGGTATCTTGGCTTTTTGAACTAAGTGTTAGCAACAAGCCAGATGATCCCTTTCCACTTTAGTAATTTTTAAAGTGAGCAATAGTTCTCCAAGTTTTTTGAAGGTTGTTGAAAGTTTTTTTTGTTTCATTTTCACTCATTTTCAGTCCAGTCCTCGTACTTAACCATCTTGGGAATAATGTTGACTCAGGGATTAACCAGTGGTGTGTCTACATATAACAAAAACTTAGAAAAGAACAATTTTTCAATTGTATCTTTAAACACTTTGTTACTAGCAGCCTGTTGCATAAGCACACGTTCCCATTTCTTTAAATGTTTTTTAAAAGGGGGGAAATATTTTTGCACAGACCTGACATAGGGATCGATAAGCGCCAGTTCTTTCAGGTGATCCATCACCAAAGGTCTGATGGAGTGAAAGATTTGATTCAAATCATCATCAATACTGTAGAGAAGGTCAGGAGAGAAGGCAACGGTGAGTGTCCACAGCCATCTGTAAAATACGGTGCAGGCACTGTCATGGTTTGAGGCTCAGGTTCAGTCAGTTGTGTCAGAGATCGTGTTAAAATTAATGGAATTATGAAAACAGTACAGTCAGATTTTGATTCACAATGCAATAACATCCTAAAAAAATGTAATCATTTCATTTTTATGGCATGACAATGATCCCAAGCATACTGTCAGTGTAGTAAAGACATGGGCAGAAAATCACACAGTGAAACACTATCATATAGAGTATTCTCTTTGGCTCTCGGAGGAGGCGGACGCACTTTTTCTCCTCTCCCTTATCTTCCCTGCTTATGTCCTTGTCTAGTCTCGTGGGGTTTTTTTGGTATTTTCCCTGGAACACTCTCTCACAGTCTGTTCTCTAAAACCTAAAAGAGGAATTAGGGATTGGATCAACTGGTCCCTAAATGCAATTGACACCCCTTCTCAATGAGAAGTTTGGGCTCGGGTGAGCCTGAGTGCTGAAGATATCTACCTATTCGGAACCATGGTAACAGGGTTCTTGCTGATCGGAGCTGGCTTGGCCCTGACTTATCGAAGAATTAAGAAAGCGGAACCGGCTGTTCAAACCCCCACAAGACTGCCCGCTAGGATTGAAACAATGGGAGAGGCATGAGTTTCTCAAAATGGGCTCATTGAGTCAGCACGGATAAGATCTTGGAGAGGCTACGGCTGCTGTGAATACTCAGAATAAGATCTCTGA